TCACCAACACGATTTTCCCCTTTTTTTCGTGTTGCACAGCACGATTTTAAAAGCAATGTATTTCTACTGGTAATGTGTTTCGTGCCTGCAGCACGTGTTTTTCTCCGGTCGGGTCGTGGAAGACCGGAAGCTGTGTGGTTCATAAAAACGTATTCTTACTCAATATCAAGCCACAATTATTGCTTTTATTTTAAATCGTATAATTTCGGACTTTTGTTTCCGTCTGTGAGGGAAATAAATGGGGCTCAGAGCCTCAGAACACTGAAATCTGTATTTTTTAAATCTTTTTTTCCTTCTAATTTGTTATTCTTTTCAAAAATAACACACTGTTATTTACTCACCAATAACACACAATTATCCTTGCTTTTATTTATTGGTTTGATTCCATAATCTCGGGCTTTGTTGGCGTCCTTCAGGAACTGAATTTCAAAATAAAAATAACCGGAAACAGACGTAGGCATTTCGAGAGCTTACCCAAGATCCTCAGCTATGGTTTAAGCTCGCTAATTGGATGTTTTAGCCGCAATGCATGCTGGGATTTGGTGTTTATATGATATGAAATCCGGAAAATATTTTAAAAGAATAAAATAATACCGAGTGTTCTTGCTTTTCTCTTTGAAAGTCATCACATAACGGCATTGTAATACACGGTNATTAATCACGGGGACTGTAGTCCTAAACGATAGCTGGGGATTATGGGTAGTGTAGTGTCTTCGGCCATCCTAAACTCCTAGAGGCCTACGTCTGTTTCCGGTTATTTTTATTTTGAAATTCAGTTCCTGACGGACACCAAAAAAGCCAGAGATTATGGAATTAAACCAATAAATAAAAGCAAGGATAATTGTGTGTTATTGGTGAGTAAATAACAGTGTGTTATTTTGAAAATAATAACAAATTAGAAGGAAAAAAAGATTTAAAAATACAGATTTCAGTATTCTGAGGCTCTGAGCCCCATTTATTTTCCTCACAGACGGCAACAAAAGTCCGAAATTATACGATTTAAAATAAAAGCAATAATTGTGGCTTGATATTGAGTAAGAACATGTTTTTATGAACCACACAGCTTCCGGTCTTCCACGACCCGACCAGAGAAGAAGACGTGTTGCAGGCACGCAACACATTACCAGTAGAAATACATTGCTTTTAAAATCGTGCTGTGCAACACGAAAAAAAGGAGAAAATCGTGTTGGTGAACACGAATCAATAGATTAAAAATCGTGTTGGTGAACACGAAATGCCATGAGACTGAGTTGTTATATCATCCACATTTTTGGCATATGAAGGTTTAATAAAAACGGAAGGAAATATATCTCGTGTGCTTAGGGAACCGCTGCTCTTAAGGCCGGATAAATAAATAAAAATGTATATTTGCTACTCCTTGTGTCTCTTTCTCAGACTGTTGTTTCTCAGTATCACATGTTCTGTTGGCTTATGTGAATGTGCAAGTGTTTGTTTGTTTGAGTGTGTGTGTCTCCTTTTCCTTCCCTTCTCCTTTGTCTTTATACTCCAGTTTGATTAAAGCACAGCACCAAGGGAGATGAGAAGAGTTTTGAAATTGGTACATCTGGGAAAAAAACATTAATTTTCTCTCCATTTGTCTGTTTATTTTAAACGTATTACCCCTTGTGCTGTTTCTTTTGTCCTTTGGGTCTCAGCATCTTTCTAAATACTTAAGAGATTGAGACAAGTAGAAAAACACAGCAATGCAATTGCACATATCCCCCAATGTCTCATTTAAAATGCCTGCAGACAGACGGTACAAAACGATGTGGATTAGTGCATTCTCCTCTCTCCTTCCTTGACTTTCATCTCGCTAATAAGCTGTGAATCTCATCTCGTCTTCTGAGGTTTCTCCTTTCCCTTTCATATTAACATGAGGGCTGCTCGATTCAACACTGATTGAGATGCAGACCTTCACTTTACCAGTCATTGCATTGAGGGGAACATTTGGTTGATCAGCATCTAATATACTTTATTAAAGATGCGTTGCACAGCTTTAAAAAAACAAAACAACGTTATTAAGTGAGGTGGGGAGAGAACTTTTGAGATAAGGGGGAGGGGGAACTACACAGAGATATTATTCTAGATTGCTTTGTAGAATAAATAATTAATTATTCAATCTACAATAGGCACTTTCCCAGCACAGTACTTTTCCCACAAAGGTTCATGAAAACTTAGTTCATGAGAACTCTTTAGTTCACGAACTAAATACAGATCGCGTTCACACCGGAATAAGTCCCTGAGGGAGGATTAGGCAAATGAAGCCGCTGACGTCACTTCTTCTTCTTCTTCGTAGCTACTGAAGCCTTCAGAGTAAATTGCCAGAACGCCGACACCTCCTCATCTCCACTGCTCCCATGTTTTCTTTTGTGTTGCCATAAGTTATTCTCTTTCTGCGTTTCTGCGCTGGGCTAATGCTAATAATGCTAATGCGAGGATAATAAAATGGCGGCTTCACAAAACCTTTTTTGGAGTTTTACGGGGTGTGGTTTGCAATCTGCCCAGCCAATCAGACATAGACATTTTTTTCTCCCACGAAAGTCCCTGCTCTCTAGCAGGGACTTTCTAAAGTGGGAAAAGTACTGCGGTGTGAAAGCGCCTAATGTGTAGGTGTTTAGTGTTTTTGTAATGCTACTTGCTTGTGAGTATATCTGATGAGATTTTAAGATGTTTGTGCAACACCATGCAAAACAATAATCCCCCTTACCAATACTGTGTTATATTAAATTACAACTTTCATGTTGATTTACACAGTTAATGACTTTATCATGTGCATGTCAAAACACAGAAATGCTTCTCCCCTGTAATGATGCTGATATTGACGCTTGAAATGGTGTTTTCACTTTTTCACACAATTTAATTATATAGCACAGTTTCAAAACCAGGAAATGTGATGTGCTTTACAAAAGAACATTTAAACCATTGAGATAATGCATTTTAAAAAACCTTTTAAAATGCCAAGCAAATATGTCTGTGTTTGAAAAAAAAGGATGTTGTACAAGGTAAAGAACATCTGAGAGAAAGTCTCCCACTTTTACGAATTTCCCGGATTATTATTATATTTCTTATTCTGATGTTCTCAACCACTGTTAATTGCTTCATCACATGCACCTTAAAACACAGGAAAGGCTGAAAATACAAATATAAAATAAAATACATCCTGTCTTGTATCGATCTTATTGACACTTGCAATGCAATTAGCTGTAGTATTGATATTTTCACATCTAATCCCATTCATCATGCTTAATAGCCTCTTTATTGCTGAGCATGGCCTGCGTATTGCCATATCAATGGCATTTATGTGTATCTCTGCATACCTCTTTGTCAAAGTAAACACCATCATATTGAATTCCATCACATTCCTCTGCTGCGTTCAATTGAGCTAAGGCCCATTTGCCGCAAATCGAAGAAACTAGATGTGAATCACAAGATAATATAAGTTATTCAGGAACACAACCTGACAACAGCATTCAATGTTAAAACTGACATACTGTAGACACTTTTCATCGTCAACTCTAAGGAGAGCTCAGTGTTGTTTTCTAGACAGTATGGTAATGAAGCTATGGTAAATTAAGCTTGTGCACACATCCAGCAGTAAATGCAGAGTGTACATGCTTCAGCACACAGGACCTCATACTATAGGTACCCACTGTGAAGTCTCTGGGGATTTTCTGCTGTTTGAACCCATCCACCATTAACACACTTCTACTGGTTATAGCCTTAGCCATCCAATGTCTCTCTTGTTCTACCAAGGGCCACATCTGACAGAGAAAGCTAATGCATAACATTATTACCAGTGTTTCAGAGAGGATCGCTCTGCTAATAGTATATATTTGAGACTTGTGTTTTTCTCTAGCACACGTAGGCGATAAGTGGACTTTGCTCCAGCCTTTCTGGATCCATATTACACCTTTAAAAAAATGCCTGCAAGAATAACTACAGTGTTTCAAGCAGATTAGAACTCATTGTAAGCTATTAAGGCCTTTATGATCTTCTGATGAATATGTTTTTGTGTGGTCGTTGTTTGCTTTAAGTAAAGTAAAGACATTTTTGGTCTATAAGCAGATATATTACAAGCTGGCTATGAAATCAATATAGGTGCTCAATGTACAGATAAGAAACATGATTTATATAAAATGTAAGAGAGTGACCAGCGATTTGGAAGTATTATGATACTTGAGCTTAACATTTAGTTATTTGTTAATATGGTAATTATAAAGAATTAGGAGTATGTATCAGTGAATTTACAGTACAATATCCTATGCAAAGCTACAGATGCACATATGTATATGTATAATGCTTTATAGACATGGGAGTCATGGAAAGTTTGACCAAACTGTGTAATCTTTGGGGTTATAGTTTTCAAATCGATATTTATCTCAAATTTGAGGTTAAATAAACTGATGTACATTATTTTATTTGTGTTCTTTGTTTCCAAATATGTTCTACCTTGAAATAAAATGGGAGTTGTTGATGTTGATTATGTAATATACATCTGACTGTGGAATGTCAGCTCTTCAAGTTGTTTTTGGATTGTGTCTGGTGTGAAATCAAAGAGATGTTTTGGTCTGAGAGCAAGGATGCTAATGAGTTGGCGGATCTCTGACTACTATTTCAATGCAAACGGTGTGGGATTCACCTTAGTGAGGGCAGAGGCTGCTTGTTCTTTAATGACTGCCAACCATCACAACAAACCAAACCCTGGACATCTGATTTGACTCTGCCAGCTAAAGCAGATTGATGCTATCTAACTCAATAAATGGAGACTGATTGGTGGATTGGCAGAAACAGACAGCAAAGGATTAGATGGGGACTTCCAAACCACCAGAGCTCTTTCATGTTACAAATACAAGATATAAGCTTCTGACCTTTTATATATTTGTTCATACCATGGCTCCAATACCGCACTAATGTGTATGTAACGTATGGCACATGCAACTAAGACTAATTTATACAATCTGTCATGCATTCTTTAACCTCTATCTTTTCCTGTTCTGCAGGTGGAAACGCTAAGCTGCGCTACCAGATCACATCAGGGAACAAGGGAGGGGTGTTTGATGTAGAACCAGAGGTGGGCACTATCTTCATCGCCCAGCCGCTGGACTATGAACAAAACAAAAGGTAGGACACACTCCAGGGTACAATCCTTCAAAAATATTAACGGTTATTTTTCGACTCAAGTTCAAATATGTTGTGTTATTTCCCCTGTTGTATTACTTGTTTATTTTTGTTCCTGACACTATATATGCTAAAGCTTTAAACTCCATGTCTGATACAATAGTTTAAGAGTTTAAGAACATTTCAAGTAAGTGTTTTTACATAGCAATTGGCTTCTTACTTTGTGGAAGCTCCTGACAAAGCTGATACTCCTGCTCAGGTACAAGCTCCATGTCCTGGCTTCAGATGGAAAGTGGGAGGATTACTCGACTGTGACGGTGAACGTGGTCAACAAAAATGACGAGGCTCCGGTGTTCACCGTTAACGAATACTACGGCAGCGTTACAGAGGAACTGGACGGATCACCGGTGTTTGTGTTACAGGTACTTTTCAAGTTCATATTCAGCTGAAAGGTACACTTTATGAGAGGTTTTGCAATAATCTGTTTACTGCACATATTTCCTGTGTTATCACCAAGGTGCAACTTCTGGGACTAAAAAGGGAAGCCACCGAGTATAAACTTCTCTTGTTGAAAAATATCCCGATTCTGTAGAAGTCTATGAAGAAATAACACTACTTCTTACATTAAAGCTTTAAACTCCATTTCTGATTCTTCAAATCCACAATATTTCAAGAGGTAAAGGACATTTCAAGTAAGTGTTTGTACAAAGCAAGTGGCCTCTTACTTTGTGAAAGCTCCTGACAAAGCTGATACTCCAGGGCTGGCTTCTCTTGATGAAAAAGATGTCAGATTGTGTAATCGTCTACGAGAAAATGACCCTACTAGATAACTCTGAATCTGTTCTTACCATGATTAAGCTCTATTACATTAGACTAAATACTCTATAGATAGCCAGCAGGGAGCGACTTCTCTTGTTGAAAAATATGTCAGATTCTCTAGAAGTCTATACACAAGATGACCCTACTTCTCATTTACCTCAGTCAACATTTTTCGAAGGGATTTATGATCTCAATTGCTAGTTTAAAAGCCTCTTTAATACGGTAAGATGTTCAGTTTGCGAATAGTTGTTAAGAGTAAAAAAGACTGTGAACTTCAACTCTTTTAAAATGTTTGGTTTTAAGTTTGCGAAAGTCATTTGAAACATGTTGATCCCCTGCTAAATGTTTTTTATAAGCGGTTTTGATTGAAGGTCAGTCAATTGAATATAAATAGCCAAAGAATAAAATGCTTTTATGCAATTTTGTCTGAAATTAAGAAACCTAACATTAAGAAACCTAAAAGTACCAGACATATTGAGTTTTATAAGAATGCAATGTCTAGCATGCATAGCAACAGTAACAAAGTTGAAGTGGAGCTTTATGAACAATCAATTGCAAACAGAACTAAAGGCCTTAGAATGAATAGTTTCACATTATGATCGATGTTCTAGCCTTGCAAATATCTTAAAGCCTTACTTATTTATCTGAGTACAATTTCTGGACTTGGGTTCAATCCGTTTTGCATTATTATGTCCTGAGTAGAAAGAGTCTTATTAAGTATCATGTTTAATCGATTTTTAGTTTTCATTCATTTCATATGATGTAGCTGGATGTGGAAAGGTTTGCATGATGGCTACAGCTTTGCCCCTGAAGCTGTCTGTCTTTCTTTAAATCGCTTTCTTTGAGTTACACTGATGTTCTTTAAATTGCCACAGTTAAATACATCTAGTTAAGATCGGTTGTAGATGCACATCACTCTGAATTTGTTCTTATAATTATCTAGCTCTATTGCATTAGACAATATAGAGGCCCTGCTTCTCTCTACGTATGTAAGAGCACATCTCTCACTCTTTTAAAGTTAATTGTGGCGCTACATCACACTGCAATTACCGCTGTGCTAAATTGAACCATCTCTGGGCTGCCCAGGGTGTAATTGCTGTTGATGTGTTGAGTGAGAAGAAGCAGTCAGGAAGAAGAGAGGTGGGGGTGAGGAGGTTGGATTTCTGCCAGGCTTACCTACCGGAGACTTTACTAACTACACAGAGCTGCTCTGAAGTGCTTCCAGTCAAGATATCACACCGAGTCAGCAGCATTTCAATAATTAAATAGTGGAGAAAAAGAAGTGATTACATTCTCATCACCCTCTCTGTGTTGCTGTGTGTTTGATGTTGTAGGTTACAGCATCAGATCCAGATAAAGATGCTGACCAGGAGGCCCTGCGCTACTCTCTCCATGGCCAGGGTGCAGAGAGCGAATTCATAATCGATGAGGTCACAGGGAAGATCTACGCCCAGCGGACACTGGATCGCGAGGAGCGTGCCGTTTGGCGTTTTGTCGTCTTGGCCACGGACGAGGGCGGCGAAGGTCTGACGGGCTTCACCGACATCATCATTAATGTGTGGGACATCAATGACAACGCGCCCATCTTCACCTGCGCCCCAAGCTGCCTCGGAGACGTTGCGGAGAACTCGGTCGTGGGGACGTCGGTGATGGAGATGACGGCCACTGATCTGGACGACTCGGCGGTGGGCCAGAATGCCGTGCTCTCCTACAGGATTACCGGGAGCTTAGACGCCACAAACGTGGAAGTGGGAGGAGTGCCTACCTTCTCAGAAATGTTCACGATCAATCCCACCACTGGGACCATCACTGTGGCCATGGGAGGCCTCGACAGAGAGCAGGTGGAGTCCTACCTCCTGGTGGTGGAGGCCAGAGATGGCGGAGGGATGACGGGAACTGGAACTGCTACCATTCAGATCAAGGATGTGAATGATCACGCTCCGAGATTCACGGATCGCTCCTGCATGACAAGGATCTCTGAGAATGCAGAGGTCAATGCAGAGGTGAGTCAGAACTATAGATATTAGCCACAGAAACCAAATGATTTGATTTATTTCAGATTAACTCCGCAAAATAAACATTGCATTTGGTGGTGGAAGATATTCTTCATTATTCTATATATCCCAAAAGATAACAAATGCAGAGTAATACCAGAAACTTTAAACAAAGTAATGGGAGCAGTTTGCCTTAAACGCAGAAAAGCTTCCATTTACAGTAACACGAATCGTAGCACTACGCATTGAAGATTTCAGTTAAAAAACGAAACCTTTAAAGGTAACTGTGGGGGAAACTTCTGAAGCAATGGGAGTCAGGACTCAGAGAGACACGAGGAGAGCTGGAGCTTTGATGGCCAACACTGACGGTTTATTTGGAGCTTCGGCCGGAGAATTCACAAGACATGTCACGGGCCACGAGTTGACCACACGGTTGAGATGCCACCATCAATTCTGAAGAACCCTCCTGCAGCTCCAGGGTTTAACTAGTTCAGAGTGTAATAATCAACATTCTTCAATAGATAGACTAAACAGCTGAGGAAACTGAATCACAGTTGTTGTCGCTTATGGCTCGGGGTCATCTACACCCCGAGAAGGATGTGCTCCAGGTGTCCCACAACAATAACTATCTCTGACAGAGAGTTGCCCGGTCATAAACTGGTAACATCAACAATATGCTAGGGAAGCCCCTCCTTGAGGGAGATCACGGCTGCTCAAGGCTGGTCAGCTGCGTCAGAGGACGAAGGAGGACATGTAGGCCGATTATTCCCCAACAGTTACTCTCTTCTCATTTTAAATATAAGTTGTGTGATTCTTAGAAAATGCATATATAGCTAGATTTGTAGAATAAAACAGCTGATGTCTGACATCAAAAATGGATTATGGGCAACTGTTTAAGCAAAAATAAACCGAGAGAGCAAAGACCACTATGGCCAATGGTGGATCCTCATGCTCCTCCTCGGTGGTCTCGTTTTCCAAATCAGGAAGTCATTCTTCTGACTTTGGTGCATTCATGTGCTTAGTGTGAAAGCAACAAGGGTTCTTGTAAGAACAGTTGTTGTATTTGATTGATCAGAGCATTTTAAGAACATATTGACATCAGTTCTTGAATTGTTGCTCCTACTTGAAGGGCGTATACAGGATTTATTAACAAACTCATTTTTCCAATTTGCTCACTTGAATGGCCTTTCTAACAATGTTAGCAAAAGCGAAACACTATTTGTGTTCCGCCCTGAGATTTGGGTCGCTCCAAAATTGAAAGGGCTTTTTCCCTTGGGCCATGCTACAACCTTCCAGCAAGTTTCATAACACATCTGGGCCAAACAGGCAAAGAGACAGTCCTCGCAAGCTCCAAACATAACTTGGCATCGGGTAACAAGAAAGAAAGAAAAAGCATTTGTAATGCTTGGACCTATTTTCCATAGAAGAGCTGTTGCAGCCATATTTAATCATCTGACTAAAACAAAGGGAAACATAATAATAAAAAAACACAGAGTGTTGCTATCTTCACAAATCTGAATACACATCAAAGGGATGTGTTTTCCATCCCTGCAGATATGTGCTGCTTGCATTCCTAGCTTTGTTTGTGTCATTTATGTATCAAGAAGCCAATAATCCCAATTATTCACATGATGTTTTTGCTTGTTTTAAGGTCCTGGAGATTGTTGCAGAGGACAGAGACACTGGAGAAAATGCCCAGCTGACCTTCAGTGTTGTGGCTGGAGACCAAGAGCAGAAGTTCTACATGGTGAGTCACAAGCAGGAGCAGCGCGGCACCCTGAGGCTGAAGAAACGTCTCGACTATGAACGACACAGCGAGCAGAGGTTCAACCTCACACTGAAGGTATGTGGCAGCTGTTCCTAGAAAGAACCCTCTGAAGGTTACTTTAATTCTGCCATTGAATCAGAGAATGTCACTTTGCTTTTGTGGAAGGAACCTTCAGTGAAGGCTGCGCAGCATGTGTGAAGGGGATAAAGAGAAAATAAGAAGCCAGATGATGACAGTGCGGTGGTATCAGAATGTGAAATGGATTGTAATTGGAATCTGATGTTTGGGTACTTTCACATGTACTATGTCTCTGGAACAGTTTGAGCAATTGTGGAAACTGATGAAAATAAATGTTTTGGGAAATGTTTCGAGCCTTCACCTCATTAATTGTTTTTGTTCAGTATTCTAAAACCCTCAAATCAACCTGTCAGTGCCTCTGTCAAAAGCGAAGATGTAAGACTTTCTAGGTGAGGAGAACTCTAAAGTCAGTCACAGAAGTTGTCACATGTCAGCAACAGACAATAACTCTAAAGCTTCCAGAGACAACTTTTCATATTTGAGGCAGTGAGAGGAAGCTGTTGGGAAAGTACCAGGAATCATCTGCAGAATACATCTTGCAGTTCATCTTCCTATACTGCTTTAGAACTAAATACAGTAAATCATTTTCTTTTGATTAAGCAATAATACCACTGTGAAGAATCTAACCTAAGTAAGTACAACAAGTATTAACATCTAAATATACTAGCAGCAAAAGTAAAATTGCTACCTAACAACAAATATAAGATCATTATATAATAACATCTGATATATTATTTGATTACAATAATTAAGAGAACAAGACATCCTCTGTCCACAGACCTTTGTTTCAGATAAGGAAATGTATCCCCAAAAAACGTTAAATAAAATAAAAAAACTTCATAGCATTCTCCCATTTTCTAACACTTGTGAAACCTCAAGCACAGCCACGCAAACAGAGGGGTCTCGCTCCCAGTAGATAGATAAATACATACATTCATGTGTAAAAAATAACAAACATAACAACATCAAAGTAAAGACAGTGAAATAAAAAACGTTTCCTTGACTGTAATGTTGCTGCTTGTGAAGGTTGTTGTTATGTAAACCTGAATTTAATTCTACAAAGTAACTAAAGTTACCAAAGGATTGTTGTGGATTAAGTATAAAAAGCACGAAATGGAGACTAAAGTACCTTAAAGTTGTAATTTAGTACATTAATTGAGTAAATGTACTTGTTGACTGTACTTCAGTTTAATTTCAGGGTACTTTGTTTGAGTTCTTGAGACTGTGCACCTGTTTCAGGTTGAGGACCTGGACTTCTCCAGCCTCCTACACTGTGTGGTGGAGGTGGAGGACTACAACGACCACGCTCCCGTCTTCATTCCTCACCTCCTGTCTCTGGCCCCTCTCCATGAGGACATCAGCGTGGGGACCAGTGTGGCCCGGCTGGTGGCCAGCGACTCTGATTCAGGCCAGAACCGCGAGATCACCTACACCCTGACAGAGGACTCGGACCCTGAAGGGCTCTTCACCATCGACCAGTCGGGTGTTCTCTCCGTGGCCCGGCCTCTGGATCGAGAGAAGATAGCACGGCATTCCTTGGTTGTCATGGCAACGGATCATGGGGTTCCACCTCTAACAGGCAGCGCCACTGTCCAGCTGCCACTGTTGGATGTAAACGACAACGGACCGGAGTTTGAGGCGGCATACTCCCCAGTAGTCTTTGAGAACGTGGCAGGCCCACAGGTAGGTTTGGCTAGGTCTGATGTCAAGTCAACATGCTGATATAATCCTTTGCTTTCGTTAATAGAAAGCTAGAAGAAGAATGTTTTTTCAGGTAAGGGATAACATGCAGCACACTGCAGCATTACAGCCAATGGAACCCAGGCAGGGTGGACTAAGAATGATAGGATAGCTTTCACTAAGTACAAGTAGTCAATTTTACTGCAACTACTGCAACGTAACTTAAAATGACTGCAGAACTGATCGAGGTTTCCTGACCCGTAACTGTCCGTCTGTTACCCTTTTTTCCCCTATTTAACCAGAACTGTCACAGTCCATACCATCTTCATGTTAGTGTTTACTTCCTGTCTGCTTTTTTCTATTGTTCCCTTTAGTGTTTGCTTCCTGTCTTCTTCTGCTAAATTCTCTGTCTTCCAGCTCTCTGTCTTTCAACCTATTTTCTTCTCTTGTGCTCCTTTATTGTCCATTTTTAGTTTTGTCTAGCCATCATGAATTCAAAGTTTCAAGCTCTCCACAAATGTCAAAGTGAATATTCAAAAGCTTGGTGTTTTCCAACAAAGGAAAACAAATGTGTTTTTTTACCACAGCTGATGTATTGCTATGACTACAAATAGTCTCTTGTTTAGAGTGTTTTTAGAAAGTGTCTGATAACGAACAAAAAGCAGACGGCTGAATGTCTAGATTGACCAATTAGAATTGAGATTTCACCTTTTACAGAGAATGAAACAATCAAACCTTTGTAACCCTCAATCCCTCACGCTCTTCCTTCTTGTTTAGGTAGTAAGGATGAACCAAACGTCGACTCTCCTGCGGGCTGTGGACCAGGACTCCCCAGAGAACGGTCCGCCCTTTCACTTCACAGTCCCCCCCGAGTATCGCCATAGCAATGATTTGTACCTCCAGGACAACCTAAACGGCACCGCCACTCTAACAGCTCTGAGGACGTTTGACCGCGAGCGCCAGAAAGAGTTCTTCATACCTATTATCATGAGTGACAGCGGCCATCCGGCCAAAACAGTGACCAGCACCTTAACCGTCACCATCGGGGACCAGAATGATCACCCACATGTGGCGGGGGAGAAGAAGATTTTCATCAATAGTCACAGAGGTGAGATCTCCAACTTCAGGATGTACCGTTCGAAACACAAGAAAAATAACTGACTTTGCTACATTTGTCTAACTGGTCTTAATCAAACATATTTAGGTTTGAGGTAATTGTCAGTCTCTGTAGGTGAAAGTGATACTGCCAGCCAATGAATTCCTAATCAGAGCTCTGTAATTAACGCACAAAGGCACACACCATTTGTATTGTGCCTTTCACCTCTGCCTCAACCACCCACTGTCACCACATTATCTTTGTCCGGATGATCGGTTGTTAGTCGCAATGACTCCCATGGTGCTATTCTAAGGGTCACAAAGGCAAGTTGACTTTCATTTAATCACTGCTTTAATGTTTATTCGTCTGGAGCTTATTGTCTTTGAGTTTAAGGATATAAAACCAACCACTTACTCCAGTATCTGCTCTCAGACTACAGTCTATTTGTATCACAAAAAGCCTGTGCCAAATTTCCAGGATTTTGAATTAAAAAAGAAATAGTTTAAGCAATAATTTAAGCAATAAATGATGTCTTTATTGGGCATACACAGCATGATGAAAATACACTTTAATACATAAAATAACAATCAGAAAAAAAAAATTCATTCTCCACAAAAACTTGGAGGCTCATTAGTAATGTTTTCTTTTTTATACCTTGTCCATTTTTCCCTATCTTTTGTCAAAAAAGATTGACTTGATTTTGAAGTGACATGGTTATTACTTTCATGATATACATTTTATTTACAAGATCCTTCCATTTACAGTTTATGGGGTTATCATTTGTGTCTCAAAGTCCTTTTAATTTACTTTGATATTGCTACTCTTGCTACTATAAACAGTCATGAATAATTTTCATTTCATTTAATCGTTTATTTGAATAGGGACAATGCACATTAATGAACACTTTAGACAAATAATGCTTCAAGGATAAATATGCCAGATTTTAGCATTGAGCTCATTTCCATCCGTAGTCCCTGACATACAACATATAAGAACATGACATTTGTAAACATAGCAAAAACTAAATATATGATATGAAAAAAAGCAAGAGCAGCACACACAAGTATTTACCACATGGCAGCACAATAGCAGCAACGGCATGTAAAGTGCAAGAGATGATACAAGTGCTACATAAAGTGCAAGAGGAGATGCCCCTGTGTTAAAGTGCATTTATTTAGCGGTGATTACACGTCTGTTTGTTGCTCAACCATTCTTTAAGTTGACCTTTAAAACTATTGAGAGTGGGACAATCCCGTATCTCAGTTGGGAGGCTATTCCACAATGAGTTGCCTTTAATAAAGGCAACTCATTGTGGAATAGCCTCCCAACTGAGATACGGGATTGTCCCACTCTCAATAGTTTTAAAGGTCAACTTAAAGAATGGTTGAGCAACAANAGTACCATTGTCTTGAAGTGGATTCTAGCAGTTACTGGAAGCCAGTGAAGGGAGCGGAGGAGCGGTGTGGTGTGGGAAAATGTAGGAAGGTTGAAGACCAGACGAGCCGCAGCGGGTTGTAGCAGCAATGTTTGTAGTGAAGGACAGGTTGTTATCTAGGGTCACACCCAGATTCCTTGCAGTCTGAGTCGGGGAAACAACAGAGGTACCGATGTTAATTGTTAGGTCAAGAGTGGGACAATCTTTTTCCCGGAAGGAAAAGCAGTTCAGTCTTGTCAAGGTTGAGCTTGAGGTGGTGAGCAGACATCCACTGAGGGATGTCCGCTAGACAAGCAGAGATGCATGCGACGACCTGGGTCTCTGAGCGGGGAAAGGACAGAATTAATCGGGTGTCGTCAGCGTAGCAGTGGTTTGAAAAACCATGCGGGCTAATGACCGATCCGAGCGAGTTTGAGTACAGAGAGAAGAGGAGGGGACCAAGGACAGAGCCCTGAGGGACCCCTGTAGTTAATTGCATGGGTCGGACTCAGACCCTTTCCAAGTTACCCTGTAGGTGCAGCCTTTGAGGTATGAGGTGAGGATGGAAAGTGCAGAGCCTGAAACTCCAAGTTCTTGGAGAGGATCTGATGATTCACCGTGTCGAATGCAGCACCAGGTCTTTGTGGAAATGTATGTTGGACACAAGCCCATAGGTAGGTGCTGTCTTCCTTGATCTCAGGAAGTCTTTTGACACTATTGACCACCAAGTGCTCCTTAAGCTGACGTATTTACATTTTTCGGCAGATTCAATACAGTGGTTTGAGTCTTACTTATCGAACAGAAAACAGTGTGTTTTGGTTAACGGAGCCAAATCCCCCACCTTGTGAACCCTGTTGGGGTTCCACAAGGTTCCATTCTTGGACCATTACTGTTTTCTCTGTACATTAAGGACTTGCCTAATGTATGTCCTGAGTTGAATGTGCAAATGCAGCCGATGATGCGGTCATCTTTGTACACGGGAAGAACACTGAAATGATCTCATCCTGTCTCTCCAATGCTTTGGACACGGTTCAACACTGGCTGAACAACATTTGCTTACAGTTAAATGCAAAAAAAACAGTATGCATGATGTTCAGTAAATGACCAGTCGAAATCGAAGGATCCAATGTGTTTTTTAAATGGCGCAGAATTAGAACTAGTCCCCCACTTCAAGTATCTTGGAGTCATATTGGACTAGAACTTGACTTTTAAGAAACATATTAAGAAAGTATCCAATACCGTTAAATTCAACTTGCAACATTTTAAACAAATTAGACCTTTCTTAACTGTCAATGCTACAAAGTCATACCTCCACTGCATGATTCTATCCCACATTGAATACTGTTTTACAAACTGGTCGTTTGCTTGTGCCACAAACCTGAAACCATAGAACAGCTGTACAAGAGAGCTATCAACAGAAAACCAAATTCATACCACACGACTGTACCATCCTTGAGAAACATAATTTCTTGAGTTTTGAGGATTTTAAGTCTTTTAAAAGTATGTGGTTTTTTATAAATGTTTACATGGACTGGTCCCCCCTCCCTTAGGGGAATTCATCCACAGAAAAGACACTGGACGCTGCACTAGGTCAGAAACCAGAGGAGACTGTGAAGTCCACCGCAGACGGACCACTTTTGGACATGTCCTCAAGGCACAC